GTTATGACTTTGTATTAGGCAAGTATTTATAAGATACAATACCAAAATATGACCTATAAAAGAAAAATTGATAAATTTGATATCAAAATGTAAGATTTCTACTCTTCAAACATTAACATAAGAGTGAAAAGACAAGCCACAGACTGGGGGAAAAGTTAGCAAATCACTTATCTGATAAAGGACTTTTATCTGGAATATTCAGAGAACTCTTGAAACTCAAGAAAGCAAACCACACAAATTTAAAAATAGGTGAAACATTTGAACACTTAACCTATGATAACTTTTTTATCTTAAAGAAGATATTCAGGTGGAAAATAAGCACTTTCAAAAATGTTTAACATGAGGAAGATGCAAATGAAAACTACAATGAGATAGAATTGCATACCAATTAGAACATCTAAATATGAGATACTGAGCATGCCACGTCAGCCACAAGCAAGGATGTGGAGCAACTGGAACTCTCCACGGTCACTGCCAGTGGGAATATGAAATGGTGCAAATACACACCTATCCTGTGATGTAGTTATTCTACCCCTAAGTTATCACCCAAGAGTAATGAATGAAAGTATATTTCCATACAAAACTTGTAGATGCGTATTCTTAGCAGCTTTATTTGTAATAGCTAAAAACTGAAAGCAACTCAAATGTTCACCAATAGGTCAATGGTTAAAAAGATAGTGGTATACCCACACAATGGAATATTACTAAGAAATGAGAAGGAATTAACTATTGTTATACACAAAATAACATGCCTCAATCTCAAAGTAATTATTCCGAGTGAAAGAAAACAGAAAAACAGTACATACTATATGATTTAAGTTCTGTAAAACTCTAGAAAATGCAAAGTAATTTACAATGACAGAAAGGTAATCTGTGGTTACCTGAGGGTAGAAAGAATTGGGGGCAAGGGATTGAAAATGAGAAAGAGGCTACTTTGGGGGATTGTGGATATGTTTGCTATTTTGATTGTGGTAATGGTTTCATGAAAATCAAAACTTACCAATTGTTTGCTTTAGATATGTGTAGCGTATAATACTACAAATACCTCAATTAAAAAATACAATGCATTGTAACTGTCACAATGTTAAAAGCACTCAAGATATGATTTTGGCATTCCTTGGTCAATCTTGAAAGTGAGTTTTTAATTGATAAAAGAGGTCATGTGGATTTACATTCTTAGTTGTACCATGCTTACCATGATCAGCTATAAGGTGTGAAGGAATGCTATCACTGGACATCAGTGGTGTTAATATGATTCATTTTGAGCCTTGGAAGAAACTCATAATAATTAACACATTTCAGACTTATTCCTTTCATTTTGTCCTCAAATGTTTGGATCATAAAACTGACATCTGAACATTGTGTTCTAAGATACTCGTTCACACTTCTAGTTACTTGGTAAATATAGCCATAGACATCTTTTATTTTAACAAGAGAGAATTCTAATTTTTAAGGAAAATGTCTGACCCCTCATTAAGAGTAAAATAGGGTAAAATCCCACTCATGTATTTTAATTTGTATTAGTGAATACATTTCCTCTAAGGACTTCTCAAAATCCTTTAATGTCCAAAGGCTGTAATATACCATCTTCCTGTTTGACAAGTAGAAGAAAATAAATAATTTAGTGACTTCCGGGAATCACAAAGCAATTCTGTGACTGCAAATTTCTATATGTATGTGCTTTGGTGTGTGTGTGTGTGTGTGTGTGTGTGCGTGTCACAAAGACTGTATGAGAATAGCACATGGCCAGAGGACAAAAAACATCTAGCATGACAGTCCATCCCCAGCTTCTCACCTTTCAAGATTATCCCCTGTCTTGGGGTTGTTTACCATCTAGAATGCTTATGGTATTGCTTTTGGTTCACAAAGATTTAACACGTACTCACATCTGCTATGCCACAACATTTTGCCAGACTCTTGGCATACGTTTAGTGATTACCACAACACTGAGAGATAAGTATGGAAACTAGGTTTGCTTGGGTTGAACATCTTTTCTCTGGTCAATTGGGTAGAAAAATAAAGGATTCCATATTTGAAACTGGGTTATTCAAGACAGACAGTCTAGGGTTTTTCTACTTTTAGCTATGGAGCCTTGGACAAGTTACCAGCATGATACCCTTATCTTTAAAAGATAATTATAAAATATATATTATAGGGAAGTTGAGTTACAGGTCTCATAGCACATTATGGATCCTCAGTAAATGCTATTTCCCCCACCTCCCACCCCCTTCTGGTTCTAGAGTCATTGCTTTTCCTAGTATATCGCTCTAAATCAGATTAGCCCTTCTGGCTGTTGGCTGTGCAGTTATCCCCTCAGTACAGATCTCCTTAATAAAGACCTGTGTTCTCCACAGGACTAGGAGTCTTTTAAGGGCAAAGACTGTCTCATTATCTCTGTTCCTCCAATGGCACCACAGGGTCTAGTGGATGCCTGTGAATTGATTGAACAGGTCTCATGGAGCAGTGAAGAGATGATCTGCAGAGCCTGCAGAGCATTTTTTTTGCAACCTATATCCCTCACTCTAGCTCACACCTGTCTACTCTTGGTTTCCAATTCCAGAGACTGCTTAGTTCCCTGTCACTTACCCATTCTCTGACTTGCAGAGCTCCAGTTTACCTGGGTGGCAGCTTATAGCACCGACTGCTCGGAGAGTTCTACAAAACTGGGATGTGCTGGTGTCCTGTACTCAGAGATGTGCTCACACCTGGCCAGGTCTCCAGCTCTCATGACATTAAGTGTTGAACATTAAGTTCAACAGGAACTTAATGTCATGTTGACAATTGACTGTATCTGAGAGACCAAAATGGGTGGGCCTTTATCAACTAAGATGAACCCTAAGTTAAAAAACAGAGTTACCTCTGGGTTGAAGGTTCGGGGCCCAGCTAGCATGGCAGATTTCTAAATTCCTACAGGAAAAACCACACTCCCACCAAACTCTCTAACAATAAGAGCTGCCAGGCAAATTGTCCTAACTTTGATTTACAACGCAGACCACTAAAACTCTGGTTGGACTAAGGACTTGTCTCGCAAACATTCCTTTCTGATAAGCTACTGCAGACCTAAGCCAGTATCAGCCGGCCTATGAAGTCTGTGCACAAACTGTCTTTGTGTCCTGTAATTCATCTTTTGATGTAAAGAGCCAAATCCCACTTCATTTTAATGCTAAAATCCTACTTGAAAGCGAACACAGGATGTATGTTGCATGTATGTTCGTCCGTTGCAAGTATGCTCACCTCTTCTCATAAATATGTATGATGTTTCTTCCAAATCCGCTGAATATGTATGACTGCATTGTGTGCTATTGGCCCTGTGAGGCATAAAACCAACCTGGCCTTCCCCTCTTGGAAAAGACAGCACCTTCAGCACATGCCGGACACTATCCCTTCCCAGTTTGCAAACCAATATTGATTGCCAATAAAGTTCTCCTTTCCACTATTTAGTCATCCTGGTGGTCTTTTAGATGGCAGTGTCAACACAGTTTATAAAGCGATCTTTATTCATTCAATCAATGAACACACGTCACTGTGTTTATAATAGTTTTGTTGTTGTTGTTGTTTCTGCTTCTCCTCATTTTCTTCCTATTCTACTGTCTAGTATCTATTCCTCTAATGACAGATTGACGTTTATCTTCTAACTAAATAGGTATCCGCCATATTCTGCAGGAACCTATTGTTTTACCTATTTCCATTGAGAATATTTAAGATTATCTTTTGTCCCATGGCCTACCACTATGCAGAGTTCTTTGATGGAAAATGTTAGAGCTCAAATTTCAACATCAATTAGGTTATCACCCTGTAAGTATTTTATCTGTCTTGAGTTTGAGGAAACTGAGTATTCCAGCCTAACTGTTTCTGGATAGATGCCTTCCTCCCTCCCAGTTGCTGTACTTGGCAGTTTGCTCATGCAGGGTCTATAGACTAAGTTATATGCCTAATTTAGACAAAGTTCAACAGGAATACAGAGGATAGAGAATTCAGGGCAGATCTGGAGAACTGTTTCTTGACTCCTTTCACAATGTCTTTTATAGTATAAGGATTTACATGAATTTCACGCTTTCTATGAGCCTCTTGACTACTTTTACAGTTTTATAGACTGATCCCAGAGTTTTCCCATCATGATAGGCTCATGATCCTGTCCTTCTGTTAAGTTTCTGTAGCCTGGTGATTGGGTAAGGATTGTAAAGATAGACAAGAACACTGTGATTTCTCTGGCTTTTCAGGCAGCCATCTGATTTACTGGTTGGTGCTGATTTCAACCATGAAATGGGAAAGATTGGGCATTTTGTGCTCCTAATTTAAAATGATTGTCCATTAGCATGTCTCAGAGTGGCTCAGAGTTGATTAGGACTCTCTGTAGAGTTCTTAAGGAGGATGGAACTCATTCAGAACGTGTGTTGACATGACTTCTTCTCTGATTATTGTGGAATAACTGTGATACTTGATTTTCAGAGAAAGAGTATGAAGGAGGGTTATATCTTTGCAGGCAAAATACTTTTCACTCTAACAGGCAAAAAAATTTTTTTGAAATGAACAGATAAAATAATTTACCCTAGGAGAACTTTTTATTGCATAAGAAGTCAATTCAGTATCAGGTCAAATGGAGATATTGATCTGATACTACACTGATTTGCTATGGAACTTGAGAAGTGCTTTGACCCCTGGTCCACGCTCTTCTCATTCCCCTATATCATCTCTTCTGTGTGTGTGTGTGTGTGCTCGCACATACATGTGCATGTGTGAGTTTGAGAGATACCTACTTCCAAATTCAAATAAACTATTTGTGAATGTAATTATACTCTATAAACAGTAGAAGAACTGTTTAATGTGGTCTTACAAAAAGTCATTTTCTTATGTAAAGACTGACAATGTAATCTTAAGTTAAAGATTTGGCTGTTTTTCATATGCCAAAATTGTTTACTGCAGTCCTTTGGAATTTGGGATTATTGATTCAGTGTCTTTCCTTTTGCTGTGGCAGTCACACTGTCTCTTTTTTCTCTTAGGGGTCATCACTGCCGCAGACATTCTTGATCGGGAGACAACAGGGTCATATTGGCTGACAGTGTATGCCACAGACAGGGGTGTGGTTCCACTCTACTCCACCATCGAGGTCTACATTGAAGTTGAAGATGTGAATGACAATGCCCCGCTGACCTCAGAACCTATATATTATCCTGTTGTCATGGAAAACTCTCCAAAGGATGTATCTGTCATTCAGATCCAAGCTGAAGATCCTGACTCCAGTTCCAATGAAAAACTGACATACAGGATTACAAGTGGGAATCCTCAGAATTTTTTTGCCATCAATATCAAAACAGGTAAGGGAATGCTTATGATTTCTTTTTAGTTTTTAGTCCGGCTTTTAAATTCATCAGCCTGACACTTACTATACTCATTTACTTTATTTTCCAAAGACTAGCATCTTTCTTTCTGAGAATAGTTTCCGAAAAGGTGAGTGTTACTTCTGTCCATTTGGTATGTTTTAATTTCACTTGACACTGAACAGGACTGAGCTAATCAAAATCAGAAGTTGTCACAGAAGGCCTTAGATTTGCTTTACTCGTACTAACAAAATGTGGTTCCCAGGTCTCTCAGAGAGCCAGCTGCTTCTTTCTCTTTCTTGGAAAAAAGTAACCTGACCTCTGCTGGATTATATGAGGAAACTGGCTTTGTGATACTTCTACCTCTATCTCCTTAAGGCTTTCACCTTAAACTCTAGACGTTTTTGTGATTCCTGTACTACCCATCAAGGAAGCAACCATGTTTAAAAGAACTTCCAGTGTCTCTATTGTTACATAAAATATGTATAATTTCAGTTTTCTGGACTTTTGCTCAAAACGTTTTTAGAGAGTTTAAGGAAAACTTAATTTGTTGAGTAAGGATAAGAAAGGCCTAAGGATGAGTGTCGGGTGTGCATTTGGCTGAATGCCTGCGACAGGTATGTACATTGGAAAAGTTATTTGCAGATCTGAGAGGTTCATTGCTTTCTTGTGATTTGTCTCTTTTAGGTCTGAACAAAGGAGTAAAATAGTGAGAGTAGTGATGGCTGGGGTTTTCACTCATTTAAATTTAGAATAATTTAAATTCATTTCACCCTGGGCAAGTGAGTTGTTACTGGTCAAAAAGTTAGGCTCAGTTGAGATTTGTTGGTGTGGACAACTCAGCTCTCCTAATGAACTACTAATCTAGTTGATGGTTGTTTCTCCTGTCTATGTTTGTTAAACATGTAGCTGGCCTCAAGTATTTTATGTATGTCAGGTTCCCATTAACATAATGAAAGGGAATGCCAGGGTTTAAGAAAAAAAAAAGCTATTGATTTTCTCTAATTATGAGTGGATCTGTCATTGTGTTAAGCAGACTTTTGCATTCTAACAGTGTTGAATCAGGATTTGACTTATATTTCATTGTAAGACAAAGAGAGTACTAGCTATCAATATCTGTTGAGGCCTGCTTATACTTCCAGGAGAGGACTCAGTTTTGAAGCCTGGCCCAACCTTTCAGAGCCCCATTAAGTGGACAAAATTCTCCATGCATCTGAGTAACAGGCCCCCAACTCTCCTGGGAAGCCTTCCTGATTTACTTCTTGGTACGGTAAAGAGCTCCTTAGAGCATAGCCACAGAGAAATGAATTCAATCACTTTGTAAATTAAAGAGTGAGGATTGGGGTGGAAGGAGAGAGAGAACAAAGAAAAAAAATGTCCTAGTAAAGAAGTTGAGGCCACAGACATCTTGATATTTCACAACCCAGTTGTGTCTGAAATACCCCAGTCAGACTCTGCCTCTTCCATCTTGATCCCATTGCTACTTGAGTCATTAATGGTGAGCCCAGCACCCTTTAAAAAAAAAAAAACAAAAGTTAAAAAAAAAAATGCAGAAGGGAAGTCTCCACTTTTCTCTTCCCTTACTTAGGACTGAATAGAAAGATAACTGTCACAGGGAAGAGAGAAGAATTTGGGTTGAATGTGAAGTTCAGAGAAGAACATGTGCATTCATGTAACTAAAGCTTTCTTTTATACACCTTGTAAAAGTTTGAACATAATTTTTCAGAAAGCCCTATATTATCACAATTTGGCCTACATTGCTAATAAAAGCCTTAAGCACGTTCATAATTTCTCTGTTCTTGCCATAGATTTTTAAAAAGCATTTTTGCCAGGAATGACATTTTTGTCTAACTAATCTAATTGTCTAAAAGAAATATACAGCATACCTTGTAATTTCCAGACACATGACAAGAAAATATTGGGTTTTATTTATCCATTTGTTCAATCACCAACCATTTATTGTACCTATTTTCAAGTAAGATCTAATAAAGAGGGTTATAAACTTAAGATATGGTCGGAGCCTTTAGGGACCCAAACTTATATGAAATTAACACATACTTATGATATAGTGGAAGAGTTCAATAAGTGATTGTAGTAGAGGAGCTTCATTCAATATAGGGTTGGTGGGAGTGATGGCCAGAGAGGGCTTCATGGAGGAATTCACATTTGGGGTTAGAAGTCCTGAGTTTCAAATGCTTGCTCTGTGCTTCCTAATTAGGGAACACCTAGACCACAGTGGAGAAAACAGACTGTACTGGACATGTTTGCCAGCTTCATGACCTTACCAGCTTCGTGACCTTGGGCAAATTATTGAACCTCTCTGAATTGTAGTTTTTAGTAAGTAAAGATAGTTGCAAGCTATATAGGAGTCCTCACCTGAAATCCTTTGCACCGTCCCAGGTGCATGGAAATCCCACAAGGAAAGTTGATACCCCATCCTAACTACTGTAGTTACAGTCATTTAATCTCTTTGGACCTCATTTGCTTATTTGGAAAATGAGAATGGCCTTGCTTACTCTGCAAGGGTTGCTCATGAAATCTGAACGTCATCATGATGTGTTTGAAGGCTGTTGGTAAACTACGAAGCTCTGTAAGAGTCATGTTATGCCTATTTCTGATGAGATTCACAGAACTCCAAGCCTGGTGAAATTCTTGTTCAAGGTGTTGCTCTAAGTATCATGCTGCCTAGCAGGCAACCTTCAGCCAGCTCAAGGAACTCTCTAATAGAAGCCTTAATTTTTGGCATTTCTTCCTAACTCTCTAAAGTCATGTGACTGAAATAGATACATCAATATAACATTTTTCAGCCGGGTGCAGTGGTTCACACCTGTAATCTCAGCACTTTGGGTGGCTGAGGTGGGCGGATCACAAGGTCAAGAGTACATGACCAGCCTGGCCAATATGGTGAAACCTGGCCCCACTAAAAAAATATAAAAATTAGCCAGGTGTGGTGGCAGGCACCTGTAATGCCAGCTACTCAGGAGGTTAAGGCAGGAGAATTGCTTGAACCAGGGAGGCGGAGGTTGCAGTGAGCCGAGTAAGACTCGGTGACAATATCAAGACTCTATCTCAAAAAAAAAAAAAAAAATTCAGTAATGAAGCTGGATGTGTAGCTAACCAGTGGACAGATAGAGAGATAGATACATAGATAGAAACATAGATAGATACATAGATACATAGAGGTATACTAACCGGTATATTTAAAAAAGATTTATGCTTTAGTTTTTTTTCAATTGGATGTTGACTCTAGTAAACTGAACTTTCATTTCTTCCTCTGCTGTAGAGTTGAAATTTTTAGAGTTTGGTTTTATTTTGAAAATGTGCTTCATAATAAAGATTAAAATGACTAACACCAGTGCAAATAATGCCAATACTTACGATCTACAGCTTGTAGCAGATAACAGATGTTCCCAGTCCCAAAATGGAGAGAGATTTCTTTAATGAACATCTGTTCTCTACCCAAATAACTGTTAGTTTTTTTCTACCACATCTAAAATCACATAGAATCAGTAGTCTGTGGACTTTCTTTGGTAATTCCTGTGGCTTAAGAAGGAAAACAAAAGCTGTAATGCTGTGAGATATTTTATGGCCAGTACAGAGAACTCTTGCTTAATTCCAGGCCGAGAGATTAAATTCAATCAAATGCAGCCTACCCCAGTGTCTGAGGTGGAGATACCAGCAGGCTGGTGTTCCCTTGCTTCTTTGGGTGAGCGGGAACGTTGCTTCTTTCCAGTTCTTGGGAGGAAATCCAGGCTGACCCTCATTGGTCATCCAGGCTGAATTGGGGAACAAGGGTGGAAATTTCTTCTAGAGCTTTGGAAGGTTTATTTTAGTTATGTCTACAGCATGGAAACCACTTAGCAGAGGGCCGACATGCCAGTGTTTAATGGATAACTCTATAAATGTTAAGTATTATGATCATCGTCATCATCCCACTAAAAAAAGTCTGTGTAAGCTGCAAGCACACTGCTTATGGACCCCACTGTCTTGAGGAAGGCATTTCTGAAAGGCAGCCATGCCTTGCCCTAGCAATTGCTAAGTAGCACTGAAATCTTCAGCTCAGTTTTATAAAGTGCATGATTTACCACTGTTGGTTGAGACCCCAGGTGTCAGCAGGGTGAGAGACATAGCAGAAATACAGTAAGATGCTTTCTGCACTCAGGGAATTTAGTCTCAGGAAAAAACAGGGCCATCACACATATATAAGGCAACCATTTAAGGCAGTTTATTAAAAAAAAAAAAAAAAAACAGTTGAACTCTGTGGACTATAAGCTATGAACAGTGTAAAATATCAGAGCAGAGCTGCGTAACAGGGGAGCTTTGCAGACCTGAAGGGGGCCTGAAGAATGGGCTGACCTGCAGAGAGAGAGACCAGACAATTATACAAGGAATATAAACAAGTGAAACTGACCAGATAGCTTGAGAAGCATATTATTAGAAAGATAATTTTAAGAGTCACAAATGTCTGGAATGTGGTAAGATAGTAGAAGTGGCAAATACGCATACTTCTTTTCTTTTCTTTCTGAGTTTCATAATAGTTAAGTTTTAAAGGGCCTTAGTTTTTATTTTTGCTTTTTTTTTTTTTAAATCTTCCTTCTGAGAGGCCTACTTTTTAAAGGAATTATTTTAGAGGTAAAAACACCTGCATAAAAGAGACCCCTTTGTTCTTTCTTTTGCGTCTGTAAAACATTTGTCCAGGATTAGCATATGCTGTATTGAGAGCCTGCCCGTGAAAGTGATCTCTGCTTAATCCACATCTTTCGATGGTTCACTGTGCCGGGCATGGAATTTCTAAGTTTCTTTTTGTAGTTGCTCCGTCTCCCTTTGACCCATGCTTCATTCACTGGCATCTCCACTTGTGTTTGAGTAGAGGTGAAACTCAGTTTTGTTTTTGCTTTCCGTAAGCATCTTGAAATGAACCTGAGTAAAGCATACTTTATGAGTAGGTAGACTAGCTGCCTCTACTTTAGGCGACTTAGGAGGAAGAAATTCTCTTC